GGAAAGGATGGGGTGTAGCAAGTGGAAACAGCGAGAGACTCTCAGGGGCCCAATTTGTGCACAACATGCCTTGTCTTCACTGTCAACCAACACTGCAGTGCAGCCGCTCAATAAAATTCTTACTGAACTTCAAGTCGAAGTAAGGGATTGATTACGACAGGTGAAAACTCCCAGAGACGGCAATAATTTCAGGGCTTGCTGAGGGAATTTTCCTGTGTATCACATATTCCAGGGATCTTATTATAGCTAAAAATCAAGTGGTAACTTTCCCAGAATCTGTGTCAACACTGAAATTCTCCAACTGAATTGTAAACCAATTCTCTCTGTACAATCTGTAGCAATGAATCTTACAAGTGAAGCGAAATTAATTATTTATATGCCAAATATTCCCACAGATTTGGGTGTGATCTAAAATTAGACCATTTTGCTCCATTGAAAATGTACTTTTTAAAATCACATAATACATTTGCTGAGGTCAGCTGTTGGTCCATGGACTCTGGACCAACTGTTAGGGAGCCAGCATGGGGCTACCTAGGCCTTCTTTATGTGGGTGGCAGTTGAGTAGTTTGGTCTATTTTTAAGGCTCCTACAGTGATAGCAAGACCTGTCCCTGACCCTTGGCTGGCTTTTGGGAACGTCTTATTATCTTACCCAGCCTTGGTGCAGAGGGAGGAGCTCAGTCCTGCCTCAACTTCATGTTCAATACTTTCTTTAGCTTGCCCCCTTCTGAATAGAGATGAAGAGGGGGGGTAGGGAGGGGAGTAGTTGGGAGTTAGTGGAGAGATCAAGAGGAGAGGAGCCTGGGGAAACTGTGGTCTGTGTATGAAATAAATGGAAAAATGTAAAGTAAAATCAAAATTTAAAAATCATATGATAGAACCATTTCATCTTCACTATCATTATCTGATATCAAATCTACTTTTTTTCTCAATAAACTTTATTTTAAAATCCATGACTATGTGATCATGTTTCTGTCATTGATGCATTGTAATGATGGTTTAGAAGTTAAAATGTGGATATTACCCCATATTTGTTATCATTTCCCTAACTTGAATATGTAGTAATAGGCTTCATACCAAAACAAAAATGAAATACTTATTTTTCAGACATTGATGGTTGTTCACAGTTCAGAAATATTTATCAAAAATAATTAACTATATATGCTTAAATCATTTTAAGCAGTGAGCTATATTTCAAATAAAATTTTAACATTGTTTTGTTTAATGTCTGTCATTGAAAAAAGGAGTGTGTTAATTTCTGTATGTAGCAGGGCAGTGGAGGGGCACGCATTTAATCCTAGTACTGAGGAAGCAGAGGCAGGCAGATCTCTGTGAGTTGAGACAAGCCTGGTCTACAAGAGCTAGGTACAGGACAGCCTCTAAAGCCACAGAGACACCCTGTCTCAAAAAACCAAAAGTAAAAATTAAAAGAAAATCTGTATATGTTGAGGTCTAAATAAGTTTTTATTAAATATCTGTTTAGGTTGATCCATTTCCATCAATAAGTAAATAAGTCTTATTACAAGTAACCACAATCAATATTAATGAAAATTGAAATGATTTAAGTTTATATTACATAGGAAGTAGAACATAAAAATTAAATGAGTTAAGAATGAATGTAGATATGATTTCATACAGACCTGATATAACTACTGGAATGTAATTACTTTTTCCAGATTACCATGAAACTTCATATTAAAGAATTAACTTAATTCGCAGTCTAAACTGCACTGACATCACATTTCACAACATGTTATTATATGAGATTAATGGTACAAAAATGACAAAGTTGTAAATCGTAACAGCATGATGCTTGCTTCCTTATCCAAAGTAGATTTATTATAATAATTTAAAATCAAAAACTCTATGCCCTCCTTGAATAAAATGAATAGGCTTCACAAATGTGATTTCTGAGTCTTTTCACATTTTTGTTCATTTGTTTTCAAATATATGTAATAAGAAAAGTCTGGAATTTATATGTAAAATAGTTTCTAATTAAAAAAAAGAAGAACTGAAGATAAAGCATATATATTTTATTTGTTGATAGCAGATGTTATAACACATAGGTGTTAACTACCAACCAAGTCCACCCAATCTTGTAATAATGAACTGAGTGGTCACAAAATGTGAAATGTAAAAATAAAGGAATAATGGGACTGGAGTGCTGACTTGATTGTTCAGGGCACTGGCCGTTCTTGTAGAGGGCTTCTTGACAGTCTCTAGCACCCACACTTGGCTTACAATCATATTTAACTTCATTCCAAAGATGTCCAAAGCAGTTTTATGGCCTATGAGCGAAACTGAATTAGTAAATATTTATACCTAAAAGAATGGGAAACAAATTTCTGAGGACTTTGTACATCTGCTTTGTTTGAAAAGCCTACGTAGAATTTACATGTTTAGTCACAAATAAAATACATAATAAATAACATTTTATGTTGATAATCCCCATTTTAAAAAAAAGGAAATCTGCAGAAGTGTCAAAAGCTATACTGATGGGCCTGAGATTCGGGGATAAACTGTCTTACCACCTATCCTGATAACATGAATTTGGTCTCTGAGATACACACACAGTGGAAGAAGAAAACTGGCTTTCTTGGGTTGCTGCTTGATATCTGCTCTCATTCCATGGCATGTGTGTGTATGCGAGCATGTATATACAAATACATAAATGTGATAAAATAAAAATTATTGGTCAAGCTGAGAGGTATGAATTTATATTAGAACACCAAATATAACAGAAAAAGTAAACCAATTAAAGAACTAAAAGATAATATTGTGATATGATTTGCCTTTGTCTGCCATCACATTAAACTGAGCAGTCTAGTAATTGGTCTTCAGAACATGCTGTTAAATCCTCAGGGAGACTACATTTCTGTGGGTTTACACTATAACATAAGAACAGACATGTTCTTATCAATTTCTTTGTTACATAAAGCATAAGTAGCAACATGTTTCCGACCTGGAAAGTTTACTGAAAATAAAATGGTGACACATATTAAACCGCCTCTTTCAGTTATGAGCACCGTTAGAAGGAGAGCTAGAATACTCTTTCCTATCACAGATGTGTTTCCATCTAGACAAATATAATAGATGGATTCCTGTTAATACATTTGCTTTCTGTACTGTAATAAAAGTTGGGGTTGCTACAATGAAAATAAGCTAATTTAACCATTCCTTTAACTTCATTTACAAACTAGAAAAGGTAAAGCAATCATGCCAACAAAAATGCTACTGCTTCCAACCCTCAACAGAGTAGCTTCTTTAGACAGTGGATGGTGCTCATTATAGAGACCTAGAATTGGTTAAGTCCAGAGAGTATATGACCATCGAATTTAGTCAGTCCCAAATGGGACATTTCCATCCTACTTCTGTTCCCAAGGCTTCAGAAAAGCTGTTGGAGCTGGGCAGAAACATTGTAAGTCAAAGATTGGACACGCTCACTGCAAATTAAGAACTTCTGAACATAACAGAATTGTTGAACTCATGAATTCACAAAAACTGATTACCATCCAGCAAAAGAGCAAGAACACTGTAATTCTAGGGAAATTTTAAGACAAAGATCAAAATACCATAGACAAAGATGTGAAAAGAAAAAAGAAAAAAAGTGAGTCATTTTGTTGTCCAGTGCAAAAGGACCCTGAAAATATGCGTGCAAATATCATTTGAACCAAACAAGTTATATTTAGGAATATATAAATATTGTATACATATATGCATGCATTCACAATGAAAATAGTCATTAATATGAAGGAATATGGGGAGAGGTATATGGGGGATTTGGAAGGAGAAAAGTGAAGGAGGATCTTATTATTATGTTATAATATAAAAAAGAAATTGAAATAAAGGCAACAGAAACTGTGACAAGCCTCATTAAATGTTCACTCACAAGACGTAAAATTAAAGTAGTAGGTTATATGGTGAAAAAATGAGGGTGTCTATAATAACAACAAAAAGGAAATAATGTGTCCTTAAAATTAAAAGTTAATATTTATAAAAGTTAATCTTTGGTGACACTAATACTTATTATTATACTATGTCATGTAAGAGCATAATCCCTACACCAGCCCTCAAAAGTGAAAATATGTTATGTACTGTGTTTAGTTATTAACATGCATATCAGTTATTTTCTTCTTTATCAAGTGGGCAATGCCTTATCAGTGAAGACATGAACACTAGTTTAAAGCTATGCAATTATAATCAAATCTCTAACTGCCTATTTGCTTCCATAAATATATATATATTAATCAATCTATTAATGTACTTATTTTACAAGTATTACTTAATCCTTTATACTTTACAGGAGCAGGGATTTATTCTGAGCCCCAGCTCAGGCTATACGTTGAAACTGAGGCAGTGCTATGGAAGTCTGTGACTTGTTTATTGCAAACACTGCATTTCAGCCACAGTTTCAACATGACCAGAATGTGCAGCGTGTACAATTTTACAATGTAATTAGTTCGAAATTGAGGGAAGCTTAATTTTAAAATTGAATTGTTCATGAAAATCTATTTTCATACTCTATAGCTGAAGCAGTTTCTCTTCATAAAATGTTTTATAGTTGTTTGAAGAAATTAAGTGTAGTTAATCAGAAAGAACATTATGGTTTGACACCTAATTTGAAAGCCCTGTCTTGAAACAGTGAATGATGGCCTATGGAATTACAGAGACCAATAAGAACCCAAATAGGAAATCCATTTATGTTCAAAGTAGATTTCAGTATGGATTAAGTCCATGCTGCTGCGCCTTTGTGTGAGACATATTTCATGCATTATATATGTTGGCTAAAGTACACAGTTCATTGCTTAACAGACTGAGAAATACTATACTAATATCATGGTGAATTATCCTATTATGCATACGAAAACATATTTCTGACCTTAATTCTCTAGGAAAGCAGAAAGTAGCTATGGGAAATAAAAGCAATAAAAGATAATGGCAAATTACTGTTGGTGCAGTGTTCTAGTTGTGTCTCTTGACTCTGTGTCCTTTGTCCTCCAGTTCCACCATCAATTGTTATGCCCCAGAAGTCCTTCAATGCTACCGCCGAGCGAGGAGAAGAGACAACGTTAACCTGCAGGGCCTCAGGCTCTCCAGATCCTACCATCTCTTGGTTTAGGTGAGGGACCCATGTCTTCTGCATGGTACTCAGGGGGCTCACGGTGTAACATTCGAAATTGTAATTATTTGGATAGCAACAAACATGATTGTCTAGTCTCATTTAACATTAGAGGTTATATAACTCCAATTGATCATCCCTGAAAACATACGTGGAAGTAACATTTAGTAGGTTTTATTTTGGAATATGCATGTAAAAGATTAATGAAAAAGGAGACTGCAGATTTGAAAGAAAGCTTTTTCTTTGGCTCATTTTCTTCTGAATATTTTTTCCTAGTTTGCTTGATTTTATTTTATCTTTTAGTTTGTTTTTTAAGGAGATCGAGGAAGAAAGGATATGGGTTTTGAGGAGAGGGAAGTAGGGAGAATGTGGGATAAGTTTAGTGAGAGGAACCAAAATCAAATTATATTGTGTGAAAAAATGTGTTTAAATAAAATGAAAAGAAAAGCAAAATGACAAGGAAGGATATATGGGAGATTTTAGAAAGAGAATAGGTTAGGGAATGATAGAATTGTTCTATATCTTATAAATAATAAATGAAAAGGGGTTCTTAAAAATAATTCATTATTGCTGGGTGGTGGTGGCGCACGCCTTTAATCCCAGCACTCGGGAGGCAGAGGCAGGCGGATCTCTGTGAGTTCGAGGCCTGGCTGGACCGATAGCCCCAAAACAATTCAGAGAAACCCTGTCTCGAAAAACCAAAAAAAAAAAAATTCATTATTAATGAGTGTGTGTGTATGGGTACGTGTGTGTGTTTGTGTTTGTGTATCTGAAAGAGAGAGAGAGAGAGAGAGAGAGAGAGAGAGAGAGAGAGAGAGAGAGAGAGAGAGAGAGAGAGAGAGAGAGAGAGAGAGAGAGAGAGAATATGTGTGTTCATACCATGACATGTTTATGGGTGTCAAAGAACAGCTGTCAAAATCTGGTTTTTACCTTTCTCTGGAATTAACTTTCATTTCATATCTTGTGAGTACTTTGACCCAGTGAGGCATTCTACCATCATAAGGTGCTAGTAATTAGTGGTTGAGTGGCTTAGATTGTGTCCACAAAGAGTGTATCATGTGAGCGTGTTGAAATGACCCTGAGTTAAAGACAGAGAGTGTTTACTGGGGCTATGCAGGTATCTGTTGTTCAACATTGACGATACAACCTTGTTACTCATCGAATGTCTGCATTGTGAGGATGAAGTCTGTATTAAAATGAATGTTTTACTATCCTTAGCAACACTATTATTTGGATGAAAATCACTTAATATATAAAAATAACTGCATCTTCTCTCTTTGTACTATATTATGAAATAGCTATGTAGATGACATTTTAAGAAGTTATTGACTTCTAAAAAGTATACTTTGACTGTTTCTATTATTTTACATTTTTAACTGTGTTTCCATGCCATTATTACCAAGCACATTTTTATTATACCCTATTATCATTGATTGTTGCTCAAGAAGTATACAGAAGACAATAAAGATTCAAACAGGACAATCTCATACATAAGCATGAGATGGCATTTTATGAGCCTAAAGAGGTTGCTCTGTCAAATAAGTGCTTACCTCATAAGCATGAGGTCCTGAGTTAGGTTATGCCTATATGCAAAATAGGCATACAGGTACGCTGTGGTAAATGCTAAATAGGTGGATGCATTAGGACCACAGAGGATTGCTGGCCAGCCACTCTAGAACAGATGAAGCCAATGCCAATCCCTGCCAGACACAAGTGACAGCATTCCTGAATGTGAACTGTATATTAGACCCTGGTTGCGTGTGTGCACATACACGAACGTTTTATACGTGCAGGCACAAATGCACCCCGGAAATGTAAAACAGAAAGTTACAGCTTACTCAATGAACACTACGTTCTATAACCATTGTTCTACTTATAAATGTCAAAGTGCAAAAATAATCACAAAATTGTTATTATTGAATATAAGAAGAAATAATAATAAAGGGAAAGGACATGACTGCCTCAAGGTGTGATGGAGGAGAAATTCGTTGTAGATACATGGGAGAGCATATTCAGAGGCAGGGACTTCAGAGTGGACCTGATTAGGCTGAGCTGGATCCTGAGGAAAAGGGGGAGGCGAAGGGAAGGGGGAGATGTGATACAGGTGCAGCAGCCATGAGGGCAAATGTCCAAAGGACAAGAGGCAGTAATCACCATGTCTGGATGATAAAGGGAAGACCCTCAGGAGGGACAGAGGCCAGTGGGGGTATGTAAGACGCCTGTATACCTGTAACAGGTAGGGACTGAGGGATGCTGGGAGAATCTTGTTAGGTCCAGCTTTCATATGTTAATTAGGCGCCTCAGTTGTTTGTGCTGAGTTTGAAACTGAACAACTCAGTTCTGTGCATATAAATGTAAGATTAGCAGTATTTAAGCTATGAAATTTATTTTACAATGTCCACAACTATTCTTCCACTGCTTTCTATTTAAACGTATTTTGGTAATAGGCTTCCAGATCTTTACCTCGTCTATGATTTTAGCATAGTAAGATTTAGTAAGTATAACGTTTAGTAATTTGAATTGATCTATAAAGATATTAATTCTTGATAATGGTATTTTACTGGGATTGCCCACCTGATATTAGCATACTAACCCCAGGCAATGATCATGTTCCTCAGTGAGTGTTCCCAATAACTCCTTAAGAGTAAATAATACATCTAATTGGGTGCAGAAAAGTTCTTATGTCATCCAGCCCCAAGAGTAAATAATTATCTATAACATGACTCTAATGACTATACATGCCCAGAGGTATTTATCTTCTGTTAGACCTTTAAATTTGTTCACAATTGTTTTCTTATAATTTTTGGAAGAAAATTTATCATAAAAAATAAAATAAATCAAATCCAGAATGTCTTTATTTATCCCTGTTTATGTCTGTTTTGTCATCTGTATGCCTTCATATGCCATTTCTTGGTGATATGCAGAGTATTTGGAATCCAAATGGATTTTCTGGTGTCTGAATTAAAGATGTATTGTGAGAATAGGATTGTATTGTTGTAATAATAAATTAACATTTACTGAAAAGCTTTGATTTGATCCCACTTATCTGTAGATACAACACATCAAAACTATGAAAATAAATTCTTGCAAGCACTGGGGAGTGTGGTTATATGCTCTTGGGGATCCAGACAACATGCTGAGCAGAGATGGTACATACAAGTGATATGATTGGAGCCCACTGATTTAGTAACCACAGGCTGGTGTAAGAAAACACAACATATTAGGTGGCTAAAATAGCAAAAATGTATTTCTTCACGTTTCTGGAGGCTGGGTATCCAAGGTCAAAGCACCAATGGACTGGTTCAGATGTGGACTATCTTCCTGGTATCCTGATGCCCACTTCTTCACGTTATCCTATCATAGCCTTTACATGCATACAAATGCTGCCTTTTCCTTTTTTCTTTCCTTTGTGTTTTATTTAGTACATAGGCTCTTTGAGACAGGATGATGGTGTAGGGACTTAAGTTCTTCCCCCACAATACACATAACAGAGATGTGTTTGCATTTCTATGCTTTTAAGACCAGTGTTGGAGCTTAGAAAAATGGCATGAGGTTTTATGGTCTCATGGGTAAGTCATTTTACAAACACACTATGCATGAAATGCAAGTGTTACTTATTCAAACTCGAACTTGTTTCATTTCTTTAATTGTTGATGTCTCTGTCTCCAAATTAGTTCACCCAAAAAGGTTAGGAAGTCAATATTCCTATGGAGACAGAAATATGCTTTGTATGTTACACAAATATGGAAGATAATTAAGAGCTAAAGGTTGGAGCATTGTGATAGCTTTCAGAAAGCAAACAGCAATACCTAGCAACTGAAGAAAGCACACGTGGAAAGTAAACCTTCCTTTATACGTTCTTTCAGAACACATTTTCCTGTCAATCAAATCTGCTGAATGTTTTCTTGGAGAGGAAGAGAATGAAGTTGGGTGAGTGGACAGGTTCAGAGGTTCAGAGAAGAGCTAGGGAGGGGAAGAATAGGATCAAAAATATATTGTAGGAAAAAATAAATTAAAAACAAATACCCTACACATTATTATTTTTATCAAATTCATTAGGTAAATTCTCTTGATTTTCAAAGTGATACCACAATACTTTAAAACACCTATTCATGTATTTTGGAGATGTGAGTTCATATATTTTGGAGATGTCAGATGTGAGTTAGGTAAAAATATTTTCCCATTCTGTAGGCTGTCATGTTGTCCTATTCATGGCATCCTTTACCTTACCACAGTTTTTCAGGTCCATGAAGTCCTATTTATTAACTGTGGATCTCAGTGTCTGTGCTACTGGGGTTCTTTCTATTCAGGAAATCACCTCCTGTGACAATGTGTTCAATGCTACTGTCCACTTTCTCAAAAGCCACAGAGAATTGTTCTGGTAGTACCGAAGAGGCAAGAGTGAATGAGTGAACAGGAGAGCAGATGAGTCCTTCGTTGGGATATCTTGGAAAACCATGCAGTACCGATGGTGAAGTCCCAGGAGCTGTTGCAGGTGCTGGCTCTATCTGGAGGAAACTCTATGGGTTAGGCTTGGCCCAGGCAGGAGGAGTGAACCTGCAAAATATGCTCGAAAATAGGCTTTTAATCCTAGCACTTGGGAGACAGAGACAGGAGAACCTCTATTTGTTTGAGGCCAGCCTGGTCTACAAAGAAAGTTCCAAAATAGGCTCCAGAGCTACAGAGAAATCCTGTCTTAAAAAAGAAAAATAAGGACTCTGTTTTCTGCTTTCAGTCTTTACCATTGTAGTTGATATTTTTGAAGCAATATTCATCTGTATTTAAATTCTATCCACCTCAGGTCACAGCAATAAGAATATGTCATGTGTTTGTTTATTTCAATTATCTTTTCTCTGCTTTGCATTTTTGTTGTGTCTTTATGGTCAACAATTTACATATCAACTCCCTCAAGTTCTATGGTCACATAGATAGTATTCATTAACCACAAGAACATTGTTTTCATCATCTTACATTTTCAATGCTTATATTTCTAGTGTGTCTTTTGAAAATACCTTTGATGTTTCTGGCATTATTGCCATTGTATATCTGACTCATTCTTCACCTGGCTGGCTATCAGTCAGTCCTAGACCGACTCTTTTGCCCAATCTCTTCCTGCCCAGTTATTTTCCAGGTAATATATTTATTAAACCAATCATGCAACATATATTCATGCAGTGTAAAGGAATATTCCAAAGCAGGTATACAAAAATCTTACTGTGATTCCTTGTAGAAAAAAGTTTGAATCTTCATCTAGAATTTTTAAATTAAAATTTAAACTGATATAAAATGTTAACATCTCTACCACCAACAGATTCTGAGTACCTTATGTCAGTATTTTATATGGTCAATTCAGTTTGTAGTTAAAAACCATAGATAGGAAGAGAAATATACAAAAAGTTAAAGGGAAAAATGAGAAAAATGAAATAAGAATAAAATGTAAGTAAAGGGATTATATAAATATATTTCACAATGTGGAAGGAAATTTTTTATATATTTTTTACTTTTATATTTAAATTTAAATTAGAAACAAGGTTGCTTCACATGTCAATTCCAGGTCCCTCTCCATTTCCCTCCTCTCCTCCCGTGCCTTCCCATCAAACCCCCTCATTTCCCCGGGGAGGGTGAGGCCCTCCATGGGGGTGTCCATAGTCTGTAATTTCAGTGGAAGGAAATTTTAAAAATATTTCATGCATTTAAAATATAATAGTTAATGTTAATAGCCATTATTATTATAACAACATAAATTCTTAAGGAAATATTTCAACATATAAAGAAATTGGAAAATAGTAAATAGAAAACAAAAATTATTCACTTCACTATCACGTTAACTTTTACCAACAATACTTATATAGAATATACATTCATAACATTCATATGGTTTCATGTGAAATTTAAGGAATCTTCATAGAAATTCCTATTATGTAATATATAAGTGTATATAAACATGTTACATGAGCACTATTAGACACTTAATAAAGTACAAAATGAACAAAACTCAGTAATAATAAAGTTCGTTTTGAAGTCATATGCTTCATTCCTTTATTAATATTAATATTGCAACCTCTAATAAATGCCAATTTTAAGTTTTGTTCTTTCAAGACAAGAGTTTCTCTGTGGATTTTGACACTGTCCTGGAGCTAGCTCTTGTAGACCAGGCTGATCTCGAACTCACAGAGATCCACCTGACACTGCTTCCCCCGTACAGGGATTAAATGTGTGTGCCACCACCACCCAGCTGAAGTATTGTTTTCATATATTTGGCTTAAGCATTCATGAGCAATAAAAATGTATTTAGACTGAACTATAACAACCAGTTTTCCTATTCATGAAAAATTGTATTTCTATAGACAATGGAGATGCTTGTGAGGTCCTTTTTACCAAATTAGATTGTGAATATCAAACTTTTTCATTTTTCTTTTTTTTTTCTTCTAGGAATGGCAAGCTCATTGAAGAAAATGAAAAATACCTTTTAAAGGGCAGTAATACAGAGCTCACTGTCAGGAACATAATCAATAAAGATGGTGGCTCTTATGTCTGCAAAGCCACAAATAAGGCAGGAGAAGATGAAAAGCAGGCCTTCCTTCAAGTCTTTGGTAAGTATTACAATGCTGTAATTAGAATATAGTCTTCGTCAAGAGGGAAGGAAGTCAGAATCAACCTTTATGCTGCTATTGGATGCAGACTGTGTAGTTTCTGTAGACAAAAACTGTTTCTTTATCTCAATGGCAGGCATTCAATCATATAATTTTTAACCAAATTATCTGGAGAATTACATGGAAGAATATGTAAAATTTCAGAGAATATTGACAGATGGTAAAAGGGAATTTGCTTACTTTTTACCCAATGAGCTGTATAATATCATACATCTCTGAAAATTTATCTTAATAAATCATTGAAGGACACATGTTGGGATTAATTTTATATTTAATAGCTTCAAATTTCTCATGTACAAGGCTCTAATTTAGAAATATTTGTTTGTAGCTATAATCAATGTCTTATCTTATTTAAAAGATATCATCTTAAAAAAATATTATCATCTTAGTGATCAAGATTCATATTGTCTTCTCTAGGCAGCTTTCTGAGCATCTATATTAGTACAAACCATTGATTTTACTCTTGTTATCTACAACAACAGAGCAAATGCTCAAAACAAACAACAACAAAAAAACCACACAAATTCCAAATTTTAGAACACAGTGCTATTTTATAGATTGTGAAGGTAAATATATTTTATTATAATGAAAATGTAATACCAGTATAATTAATGTTACAATCTATAGGATTATAGTAATAAGGAAACACCTTATGTCTAGAGCACCCGTCCTAATGCTGTTACCCTTTATTACAATTCCTCATGTTGTGATGTCCTCCACCCATAAAAATACTTTTGATGATATTTCATAACTGTAATTCTGCTACTGTCATGAATTTTAATTTAAATATCTGATATGTAGGATATCTGATGGGCAACCCCAATGAAAAGATCTTTCAGTGCACCCACAAGTTGAGAAACATTGGTTTAAGCTATGTTAAAGTTAATTATAGTCCTAACTAATCAGTAGTAAATGCCTGAAGAAAATGTTTCAATACCTTGTTTTGTCATGAAAATTTTCACACTTATATCTACCTCTACCTCTTAGATATCCATCATCCCTAATCAGTTATTCACTTTGATGAATTTATTAAAAGATAAAAAACAATGAATGACTAAAGAGATGATGCATAAATGTGTCCGTATGTGTATATATATTTACAGATGTGTGGTTTTTGAGAGGAAATTTCAGTTTTGTGGATTTAGAAAATAAATAAAAGAATATTATGCTAAAATAGAAATTTTTAATGAATTACACTTTATATTGATTTATAATGATCTGAACTTTTTATCGTAATAAAAATAGGTAAACATTGTTATCTAGAATTGTTCCCCCTTCTTATTTGCAATTTCCTTGGTATTTTGAGAAGGCACGTCATAAACTGCTATGAAGTTACTTGTCTCATGTCATTCAAGTGTGTAGCTAAAAGTCCAAAAGTAATTTTCACTGTGAATAGTAACCATTTTGGTCCAATACCAATTGAATAATATGTACATTTTTTACAGTACAGCCTCATATATTACAACTTAAAAATGAGACGACTTCTGAGAATGGTCATGTCACACTCATCTGTGAAGCTGAAGGTGAGCCAATTCCAGAAATCACATGGAAAAGAGCAGTGGATGGCACCACATTTTCTGAAGGTGATAAGGTAATACTGCTGTTTCTAGAGTAAATGATGCATAGGTATACAATTCACTAACTTATATAAATCAAATAAATGTCCTGCTTTATTAAACCTACCATAAAGTCATTTTAAAAATGAATATAGAAGAGAAAATTAAATCAATTACTATCATCCTCAATGCATTTTAATAGATTATGAAGTCCAAGGTTATTAATAGTACACTTAATGACTTTCATGGAGTTTTGGTAAACATTGAATCACCAAATAAGTGATTTACTTCAAACTTCTCTGTATAAATGAATTCATTAAAAACTGTGACTCTCATTTAGATTTTACTGTTCAAAAATGTCTTTGTGCACAAGCTTTTGATTTTTTGGGGGAGGGGTTTACAGACAGGGTTTCTCTGTATTGTTTTTGAGGCTGTCCCGGAACTTACTCTGTAGACCAGGCTGGTATTGAACTGACAGAGATCTGCCTGCCTCTGCCTCCCGAGTGCTGGGATTAAAGGTGTGTACCACTGACACCCGGCTCAAGTTTTTGAATTTATAAGCTTGTGAATTAATCTCTAACAAAAAGATATCAGAACATGACAGTGAACTGAAGATATGCATAATGCAAATATTAACATGTATTGCACACAGCAAGTTTTTGTTATTGCCAATTTTCACCATCACTCATATTAAACTTTAAGTATACACCGGAAACAGCGAAAATAATGTAGAATCAGATAAACACCAGAGACACAGATAATGGCATTACTGGAATTAGCATTTAACAACTACAAAAATATTTTGGTAACATATGTACTGAATTGAATACACACAAAATTTGATATATGTATATATATATATATATATGTATATATATATATGTTTATGTTAAAATGTCTCAAAACACTTTGACTCACAAATATGACATTCGGGAAAATTAAGACTTATTTTGTGTAGAATACACTTCCTGTCCTTTCACCTGACCATACTATATTCAACATCATATTAAACTTATAATTTGAAAAGTTGCCAGCTTTCCCCATATCTCATTTGAAAGAATGTATCCACATATGTCCCACTTTTTCCTGTGTTCTCTAGATGATGTTCTTATAGTTGTAAATAACTCTTTATGAAGTAATTATGTACATGTACATTCAGTAGGTTTATTTTATATGTTCAATTAAATATAAAATCATGAAATGTGAATGGCCACAATTATCTTTTGTAAGCATTTACAATTTGCCTTCATATTTTCCTAGCTCAAAGAATATAGAGATAGGCATGGAATAGTTTGCAAGTCTAAAATGCAATCATGTCCATAAAATCACGGAAAGTGTAATCAGATCATTAAAACGGTAAGAAATTGCATCAGTGTAGCACATTTCTGTGAATGGTTCAAGTAATATACTTTCATACCATGATCCTTATTAGGTGTTTTGTTGTGTCAGTGCTCTGATTTCTTATTTTTTCTCTAGCTAAAAATTTGTTTTTTTCTTCATGTTATCTCATATCTCTTTGTTTGACATTCTTATATGGTCAAGTTGAACATGAAGTGTATATTATCTTGGTTATTTCATCAATAAAGTAGCATCAAGTAAACAGAAGCATCTGATATTTTTTCTAAAAGCTTGCCCCAAGCCATTTCAAACCTGCCACACAGAAATTTCTTCCACAGTAGCTGTGGGAAGAAATCTCTTATTTTTTATTTGATAAGCACTATCACTCTTGAAGAGAACCTTTCTTAAAGCTTAAGTTAGATTCAGCAAACAGTTATAAAAATGTATTCTTTCATACAAATTTATACAGTAGACAAAGAAGTTAAATTTATTTCTGTCATAACATTTCTCCAACAATATTTTAAGTTTTCTGACTGCTTTTTGGATATCAGTATGTCTCTTTTCTGAAACTATACCTACTCTCTTCAACCGAAAATACACAAATTGAATAACTGAAGGAAGGCAGACCATTCTTTTCAAATTCTAACTTGGCCACATATACAGAGTCAGCTTTATTAATAGCATTTGTATTGAATACTTCCATACAATTCATCATAATGTGTAATAAATTCCTATTTTAATAACAAAGTGAAAAGCACATTGCATGTCTCATGTCAATAATTTTTGTTGTACAGTTTATCTCATTACTCTTATATCAAGTGAATTTAGATTACTAGTAGTGTTTTTAAAATGTGACATCTTTACTGGTTAGATGGAGAATGTATTATTTTTGTTATGGAAATTGACATGACATTGAATTTCTAGGAAATATTATAGCAATTCTGATTCTGTATTCTCAATCATGAAGTTAATTCAATATTTCTTGTTCACAGTTAAGGAATGTTTAATATATTCGTTTGGAGACATATGAGTATGAGTTCAGGACACTCCTTGGAAATACACTTTAACTTCTTGGCTCTTTGTCAAGATTAAATTCAATAACTAATTCTTTCAATAGGAAATTATTATTGACAGTATTGTGTAAGACCATGTTTGCGGCCTGAAAATTGCAACACTAAGTAATCAGAATACCACAACCAAAGCAAGCAAGTTTTTGATAAAATGCCAAATCCATATTTGTATTTTAGGATGCATACTAATATGGTTTACAACAACATGAAAAGGTACTCATCCATGAAAATATAATAAAATATTATATCAACTAAAGTATTTCTTTTAATTTTTTTCTCGTTATTCCCCATTTTTATTTTTTTTTCTTGTTTTTTTACTTAAATTAAAAACAATCTTATTTCACATACCAATCCCAGTTCCTTCTTCCTCCCATCCTCTGATGCGCCCACAAACCCCCCATCCCATACTCCATCAACTCCCCAGGGTGAGGCCACCCTTGGGGGATCTGTCACAATATTAGGGGCAGGCCTAGGCACTCCTCCATGTACCTAGGCTGAGGCAGAATTCCTCCATAGTGAATGGGCTCCCAAAGTCCTTGCACTGGGGATAAATACTGCCAGAGGTGCCATTGACTGCCCTGGTTTCTCAATGGACACCCACATTCAGGGCACCTGCCTCATTCTTATGCTGGTTTTCCAGCTGCCAAACTGGTGTCTGTGTGCTCCCTTACTCAGGTCAGCCATTTCTGTGGGTTTCTCTGGCATGGTTTGACCCTAGAAGAAACCATACTGAATGAGGTAATCCAGACCCAGAAAGAAAAACATGGTATGCACGCACTCATAAGTGGATATTAGACATAGAGCAAAGGATAACCAGACTACAATTCACAACCTCAGAGAAGCTAGGAAGCAAGGAGGACTCAGAGAGAAACAGAAAGGGGAAAAGAGAAGAGATCTCCTGAGAAAATTGTCTTTATTTTTTAAAACATTTTCATTTTATATACTAACTCCAGTTCCCTCTCCTTCCTCTTCTTCTATCCCCCAACATGCCTTCTTCATATCCCCCATCCACACCTTTTTTAGGGAGTCAAAAAGTCTGGCATACCAAGTTGAGATAGGACCAACCCCTTCCCCTCTGTATCAAGACTGAAAAAGTTATCCTGCCATAGGTAATGTGCTCCAAAAAGCCAGTCCATACACCCAATATAGCATTGGTCCCACTGCCCAGGCTCCCTCCCAAAGATCAAGCCACACAACTGTCACCCACATTCCTAGATCAGTCCCATGCAGGTTCCCCAACTGCCAGTTAATAGTTCTTGAGCTCCCACTAGCTTTGGTCAGCTGTCTCTGTGGTTTTCCCCATTGTGATCTTGACCTCCACTTGCTCATATGATATCTCCTCCCTCTGGTGAACTGAATTCCAGGAGCTCAGTCCAGGGCTTGGCTGTAGATTACTGCTCTTGCTTCCATCAGTTGCTGGATGTAGGTTTTAAGATGACAATTTTGGTATTCACTAATCTGATTAAAGGGGAAGGCTGGTTCAGATAAACTCTCCAGTATTACTAGTAGTCTTATCTGGAGATTACTGGGAATTTCTTTAGGACCAGATTTCTCCCTAACCCCATAATGGATCCCTCTATCAAGATATCTCTTTCATTGCTCTCCCATTTTGTTTCTTCCATCAACATGGTTTTCTTGGTCCCTCATGTTCCCATCTGCCATCCCTTCCCTTCTTACCACCCCCACCATTTACTCAGGATATTGTAACTCTTTTCCCTTCCTGGGTCCCTTCATTTGTGACCCTTTAGGGTCCCTCATTTTACCTAGAAGTTATCAGAAAATGGAAAGAATTCCCCTCTCTTGGATAGGTAGGATCAACCTAGTAAAAATGGCAATCTTACTTAAAGCAATCTACAGATTCACTGCAATCCCTATCAAAATCCCAACACAATGTTCAAAAGAAAACTATTCAATTTCATATTGAAAAAAATCAGGATCGCCAATACAAGTCTCTACATTAAAAGAACTTCCAGATGCATCCCAATCCCTGACTTCAAGCTCTACTACAGAGCCATAACAGTAAAAGCAGTTGATATTAGCTGTGAATCAAAGGAATTGAATTGAAGACCCTGATATTAATCCACACACCTATGAACACCTGATTTTTGACAAAGAAGCCAAAATTGTACAATGGAAACCATCTTCAACAAATGGTGCTGGCATAACTGGAAGTCAACATATAGAAGAATGGAAATAATCCATATCTATCCACAGGCGTAAAACTCAAGTCCAAATGGGTCAAAAACCTCAACATGAATCCAGATGCACTGGACCTGATAGAAGAGGAAGTAGGAAGTAGCCTTGAATGCATGGACCTTCAATTGAAGAGCAATTCCTAAATATAACAACAGGAGCACAGGCACTGACAGCAACAATCAATAAATGGGACCTTCTGAAATTGAGAAGCTCCTGCAAGGCAAAGGATATGGTCAATATGATTAAACAGCAGCCTGTATAATGGAACAATATCTTCACCAATGTCACGATCTCCAAAGTATATAAGAACTCAAGATACTAGACACCAAAATACCAAAAAATCCAATTAAAACATGGGTACATATCTAAGTAGAGAATTCTCAACAAAGGGAACTCAAATGGCCAGAAGAAATTTAAAGAACTACTCAGCA